TGACTGGTACTGTTTAACATCTGCATCAGTGACACGGACGGTGGAATCGAGTGCACCCTCAGCAAGTTTGCTGACAACACCAAGCTGTGTGGCACGGTGACACGCGGGAGGGAAGGGATGGCATCCAGAGGGACCTGGACAGGCTGGAGAGGGGGGACCGTGCCAACCTCATGGAGTTCAACAAGGCCAAGTGCAAGGTCCTGCACCTGGGTCGGGGCAATCCCAAGCACAAGGACAGGCTGGGTGGAGAGTGGATAGAGAGCAGCTCCAAGGAGAAGGGCTTGGGGGACTGGGGGATGAAAAGCTGGACATGAGCCGGCCGTGTGCGCTGGCAGCCCAGAAAGCCAACCGTATCCTGGGCTGTATCCAGAGCAGTGTGGCCAGCAGGTCGAGGGAGGGGATTCTGCCCCTGTACTCTGCTCTGGTGAGACCCCACCCGGAGTGCTGCATCCAGCTGTGGAACCCTCAACATCAGAAGGATATAGACTGGTTGGAGCGAGTCCAGAGAAGGCCACGGAGATGCTCAGAGGGCTGGAGCCCCTCTGCTATGGGGACAGGCTGGGAGAGTTGGGCTTGTTCAGCGTGGAGAAGAGAAGGCTCCGGGAGACCTTATAGCACCTTCCAGTGCCTGAAGGGGCTACAAGGAAGCTAGGGGGGACTTTTTACAAGGGCCTGTAGCGATGCTACCCTGCCCCTGGAGGAACTTTAGGAGATGAAATTCAGAACACAAGGACATTCTGACCGCCCATGGAGGCCAAGCTGCTCTCCTTTCTCATCTCGAGACAGGAAAACACTTAGGTGTACATGGACAGGGCAGTGATGACATTCCTTAAAAGCAGAGCAGGAAGGATTTGGCATATGTTTCCTCCCTCCTTCCCTCCCTGATGTGAATGCCATTCACCTGAAATATGAGATGCAAAATAAAGAGGCAGCAATGAGAAATAAGTCGACAATTCCCAATATCCTCACTGTTTCTTTCCTTCTCTTTTAGAATGTATCTGCCTTGGACTCCCTTATCTGAAATGGAAGCAAGTACCCTGGATAAAAAAATAGCTTTTGCTAGCTTCACAGGCCTGTAACCAGAGATTTCAACCGCATAATGAAATGTAGGCTGTCACTGAGCAAGTTAACAAGTGCCTTTCAACTCACAGTGACTTTGGTTTTCAGTAGTTCTTCACAAGTAAAGTTGAGCTAGTGAGTAACAACTCCCCTCAACCCAAGAAGCTGGGGTGTGAGTGTACCACACACATTTTAGTGTAGCAAACACATTTTAGCCTAGCCTCATCCCTTAAGCAAAATGTTGCAAGCAAGAACCCTCGATCCCAGTGTCTGAATACAAGCACCCTGCAGTCCAACTCGCAGTACAGGCTACATAATAGTATGTTTTTCTGGAATAAAACTAGTAATGTGGCTGTCTAGCCCTGCAGGGCCACTGCTTTTGCTCACAAAAATCCCTCATCCTTGCAGTGTTCTTCCAGCTCTCTTCCAACATAGTTTCACACCATACACTCCCTTTCTGTAGCAAGGCACGTAACCAACCCAAAACATCGCAGGTTTTTGCAAGATTCCTGTTCGGCAATCTCGTCTGAAAAAGGGGAATAGCCTGTTACATTCACACAGCACAGAGAAGCACATGTACCCCTCAACAGATGTACGTGCTGTAATGCAGGAATCTTTAGTCTCTCTTATATGCTTTAGTTACACTCTTCAGGGGAAAGCCTTACAACGTTATGCAACTTTTCTTTCACCCAGAGGGTATCGTATATTTAAAAAAAAAAACTAATCTAAATTTATTTTTAGAAGTTCTGTGACAATCCATTTCCTCTGAAGAATCCAACAAGAAGTAGTCAGAATCTTAAGCAAGTGGCCACGTATAAACACATCTTCAACTTGCCTTTGTGGTTCAAAGCTGGAAAAGGCTGTTCAGCCTCAGCACACTGCAATTATTATACTTACTCTTGGTAAGAAAGCATTTTGTTTGCAGATACATACTTGAAAACTTTATCTTTGTCATAAACTGGTGGGTTGATTGCTATAGGCAGTTTTTCCTTGTTTTCTGCTAACATAGCCTGAAAACACACAAAAAAGACAAAAAGTTAATACTAGGCAGAATAAATGAGCAGCCTGAGGTCAATCTCCACAATATTCAGCGGATATGAAGACCAAACTGAATTTTGAAGCGTGCGCGATCAGGTTTATAAAAGAAGTGATTGAAACCCAACAATCTTTAAGGAGAAGTTACAGATAAAGTAGCCCATAATGACTCAATGTTCATCTGAGTGTTTTAGCAGCAATAGCCTGCTGACATTCTCTCAAACTGTAAACTGTTACAGATCATCTTCTGCAATTCCTTATCTCCACTTAAGTATATAAATACATGTATACAGGTGCATTTGTAGTCACAGTAAAAATGACAGTCCACCTGCACATCTCATCGGTCCGTTGTCCTTGGCACAAGTGAATTCCACCAAACCTACATTGGGAAGTATATTGTGGAATATGCTGCTCAGGGAAAACAATAAATCAGTGCAAGAGCAGAGGCAGAAGGGAATCAGAGGTAAGAGAGAAGGAACAAGAAATATGGCTTTAAGACCAGCGCTTATCAACACTATTGAAGCACCCTGAGAAATTCCTGTTTCTCCTAAGCATTAAACAAAATCTCAATTCACAGATGATCATACGCAGTAAAAGACAAAGGTACTGTATTTCCAACGAAAGGCAAGAGTGTCCATTTAGCCATGATGTTTTATCCCAAGTAACTAAAAAAATTATGAGGCTGGAATCTAATTCTGCTCCTGTAAATAAGCAAAAGTCTTTTTGCAGTCTTCAGCAGGAAACATGCTTGGAAAAATTTCACTCCATCTTTTAGAGCACCTCTGACTGATAAAGGAAATACACCTTTGGATCATTGCTGATACCCGGTCAAAGGAAGAAGCTCACAGAAACTCTGGGATGGGAGAAGTGCATCTTGAGAAACCAAAATAGCTGCTGGTCTGCAACAGCTCCCCGAGTTCCAGCTGCTGCAGGCTGTCCTCTGAAACTGCAGTGGTGAAATGTCTGACCAGCCACAGACATACCTCTGTCACAGGCAATATAATCAAAGGTGACGGGAAAGCATACTCAAAACCACAATCAAAGATCTTCGATATCACCTTCTAAAACAGGTTGGACAGTACAAATCCGGAATAATTCCTGCAGTCACCTAAGAACAGGAAGGGAGTCTGTACTTTTAAGAGAAGACTGCAATTCTCAGAACAGTACCAGGAGATTCATTACCATTTTTTTGCAACACAGGGAGTTGTTGCAGAACAGCAACTACTCTAGATCCCCCAAAGGTACTTCTTCCATCCCAGATGCTTCATTAGAAGCCACCTCCCCTGACACTGTTTTTTGCAATCATTGCCCAATCATTAACCACATTACCATTTAAGTTACAGCCTCTGTGGTCTGTGTTGGAGACCAGAATTCGGTAACAGAAAAAACAAACAGGTAAAAGTTAAGTCACAATGCTGCTGTAACAACTCTGTGTTTCTTTTAAATAGAACACTGAACCTTCAGGTTTATTTAAAGGAAATTAGAATAAGAAACCCAACATCCTTCGCGATAGTAAAGCCCAACAACACAGCCCATTTAACAACAGATAATTATTTGCACATAGCAGTAAAGCAGTTGCAGAAATTGTACAGTGATAGCAGCAAATGATTTTGAAACAGTGCGACTTGCACAAACATTTAGAAACATTTCACACAGCTATTTCCCTGCAGAACTGTTGGCTCATATACTAATGCTGTCAACAGATCTGAAGTCGCCTGTACTTTCCTGCGCACGCAGCTCTGCTTACGCGAGAATCGGGGAATTAGAAGTGTCAGCAATGTGGTAGCTCTTTCCAGACATTTCGCTTTTGGTGTTTAAGGATGTGCTATGCCCTAAGCTATTCTTCACTGGCCTATCACCAGTTAAGACTTTAATCTACAGGTAAATATTGCCGGGTAAAAGAAAGCTCTGTTGGTTGGTACCAGCAGCAGTATTTTGCTGTCATCTCTTCTCAGCAGCTGAGTGGCAGAGCCACAGTAAAGAAAACAAGGGATACTTGCAGAAGGTATTTTTGAGGTAGGGTGGTGAAAGAGGGTACTGCTTGCCCATTTGTCACACACAGTTATTTAGCTTGGCCTGATCATCTCAAAACAGAATTAAAACGTACAAAAAATTGCCTTATCTGAGATCCAGGCACTTTTGCCAAGAGAACACCTGTAAGGCATGAACTGTGGTTGCATTGTTGTTCCCCACCTGTAAACACAGTACATCTACCCCTCCTTCCAAAAATGCAAAGTCTCAACCAACCAACAAGACAGCCTAGCTGATTTGAGCGCATGCCTTTATTTGGCAGAAGCAGCTTAACTTAATTTCTGACTAGATATTGTTAATAACAAGCTGGGTCCAGCATTTTCTGCCTATCCTCGACCACATGAAACACATGGTCGGGGTTTAGGTTCATCTTTCGGGACTGCACTTTGAATGCTGTTAGTGGCCACTACAGCATCCTCATCAGCATTTTTCTTTAAAGAGAATCGCATGCAGACTTGGCTCATGAAAAGGAGTTTCCAAACGACATTAATTTTGCATCCTTCAAATATCACAAACCTTCAGTAGAAAGGAGAGCTCAAAACAAAACAGACAAGTACTTTGTAACAATGCCATCAAATTAAAGATGTCTCTGCTCCAATATTTAATGGTTCTAAACCACGACATCAAATGAGTAGCCAGGCTGAAAAATATAACCACTCCTAAAATATTAACAATCTTACCGTAATTCAAGACTGAACAGAAGTGCTACAACAATAAATCCTATCAGTAAGCCTATTAGACAGTGCATCAAATGCCTGGAAGATGGGTACCTCATAGGAAGTCCCTTGTAGCAAGCTTATTAGAAAGTTACACAATACCGCAGTAACGTGTTAGAACTTATTTGTGTTGCTCCAGTTTTTAATCAGGTAAATATTTTATGCAAGACATTTCTCATCTCACCTTACTTGCTTTGAATTTTTTAATCTAATAACTATACTCTGAATCAATCTTTAATCTTGAAAAGAAGCAAAATCAGAACTCTGGCAATGCTTTTTAGACACTTCCTCTTAGAAGGGAAGAAATGTGAGATTAACTTGTTAAAATTATACCTGGTAATGCTCATCTGATGGCTCTGGGGTAAAACAGTTGACATCCAACACTTCAGTAGGCACCCATGGTAACAAAACACACTTCCTGACCAAGCGATCCGTTTCCCCGTAAGCGTAATCACGAGTCACTTCATCTGCAGCAAAACAAGGAGAACCTTTAGGAACCGCCTTTCATTCTCCACTGAAAATCTTCCTCATGGCATATCACACAAATGACAGCTGAACAGTCAATAGACCACAACTTTTGTTCTTTAAATGCAAACTCAGAGATAAGTAAAGAACGACATTTTAGAGGGCATTATTTAGGATGCAAGAATTAGCCTGGAACCATGCAACATGGCAGTTTAGTCAGACAGCTGGACACAACTCCTCCACATGACGGGGGCATAAGGTGGCCCCCCAACTAAGATTACAGGAGTAAATCATTGGCCTGGCATTTCCCCCGTTTCCAGTACTTGATGTTCTGACTCAAAACTACACACATAGACCTTTAAGAATATTTTTTTAAACTCTGAGATGACTGAATCAGTAGTTTCACTGAGACAGCGATGCAAGATTTAAGTTCTCTTGTCAGTAAAACATCAGCAAGATTTTGACTAATAAAGGCTTCATGGACAGATAAGCCTCTAAATTACAGAAATATCAGGCAGAAAACTTCTAGATTCAACAGTATTACAAATATCCAGTCATTTGGGTCTTGAAGTATTTGTTCTACTGTGAAGCGCTCAATGATTTGTAAAAATATGACCCATCTTCTATGGCAAGCATCAAAACGAAAAACTCCACAGACACACACTTACCACCAGTTTCGAGGTCTCTCAAAGGCCAGAGAACAGTGTAAGCCATTTGCTGAGGCATATAAAATAGAGGTGCTGCTGCAAAACTAGGCTGATCTGAATGCTGAATGCGTGATCCAAATTCATCCATAATGTACCAGACGGGAACCCTCTCCTCTGCAGTCTGTACGATCAGAGAGTGAGACATCCTGCACATATCAATTGCTAGAAAAGCACCGCAAGACAGAAGGTGCTGGCAGCACCCCCTACGCCATATCTGTTTCCTGCTCTAGCCAAGGCTGCAAGCAGGTGCTAGGTACAGAGTAACACTCATTTCTGAGACTCTGAGGCCAAGCCAGCCTATCATCCAGCCGCTGCTGGGAACAGCCTGCTCCCGTATCGACCACACAGTCCCATCCCTCTTTCTTATGCTAGTGCTATTGCTTACCAGACCCACTTCCCCCCTGCAGAACTGGCCAGTTCAGGGAGCTAAACTAGCAGAAGGCTGTTTGGGTTTTTTTGGTAGGTCTTCCTGCAGTTTCTATCAGAACCAGTTCACTACAAGGATGAGCTGGAAGTTTAACACTGAAGAATGAATGGGAGCAGAACTGCCTCCTGCAGTAACAGCTGGCTGTAAGAGTGTTGAGGCTGCATCATCAAACCATCCCCTCCTGCAGTCCTTGACATGATAAAATCCGGAATGAAGGAATAAGCTTTAAATTGCTGGGGAGCACTACTGTCGCCCTTTCACAGATGCAGAAGTGGAGACAGAGAGATTAGACAAAGATAATCAAGCAACTCTGTACCTGAAAGGGGCATAGAAGCCAAATTCAGCTACAGGTTGAATTAACTGTCTTCCAGGAAAGCACTTTTCAAGCAATAACACAGGTAATTCCACCTGACTCACAAGCCATTCACGACAAGATGGGAACAAAGATATAGGGTAGAAAAATAGAGATACTCTTTAGATCTCCCTTTTATTAAAAAAGAAAAAAAAAAAGAAAAAAGCACTCACAACTGACCCCTTTCTCGGGGATTTTTCAGGCCTGATACTACTGTGAGCTAAGCTGACACGTTAACTGATACAGGTGTCCACTCCAGGGAACAACCTCAACACCCCAAGCCAATAGGTGCAGGTTGGTCATGCCCACACTGCTGAGGGTCAGCCTGCCTGCTCTGCACAGGGCTCAGCCTGAAGAATTCTCCTTTCTCCTCTTTAAAACCCAAATACTCATAATAGTCTAACAAAGCTACATTGCAGCCCCTACAAAAGAATTTTTAACTGAACCCCAAGGGTTGGATTCCCCCAGAAATGGCATGTATGCACTTGAGGGCGTTTGAAGGCTCAAGAACTGCTGGTACAGTGCTGAAGGACTGTGTAGGGCAGAGAGACCAAACCTGGTGTGGTCTTACCCACACTACCTGAAAGTAGCAGCCCTTGGCGTAAGCTCTGCCCAGAAACAGGCTCCATCTTGAAGCCTGTTGGTCCTTGCCCGAGGGTGAGCTCATATTTACACGGTACAATCAGCTGGCAAATGCAAACCAGGAAGTTATCCGACTGTGTAGATCTATCCCTGGTACGTAAAGCACTCTACAGTGCTTTTTTTTTTCCCCCTCTTTTTTCCCTAGGTGAGGAAAATGGAGAGCATAGCCGAGACACACACTTTTATGTGACACAGTTGATTCATGACAGATTCTTTTTTTCTCTATGAAAAAGCTTGAGTAGAAAATCTCATGTAACACACAAGCAGATCCCCCCCTTCTAGCCCGCTTCTTTTGTGGCAGACTCTTCCCCTCCCTACAAAAACCGCCCTAAGGTTCTGATCAGCAAGCTGGTAGCGAGCCGCTGCGCACCGTAACCCTACATGGCATTTGCTCTCCTTCCAAGTAGAAGTTTATTCTGAAACGCCTCTAAAGGGCCGATTTTTGTATTGAAAACGTATCTCTGTTAATAGCTATATATTGGAATGTCTTCCCTCCGGACTGCTCAGACCTTTTTAGCATCCCGATTAGGCTTTAGAGACTGACCCCTTGAGAAAGCTTGTAGGTCTGATTGTATTTCCACATTTCCTGCAAGACTTGCTCAATACTGCCCTCATCTGGGATCTCGCCGTGAAAGTCGATTCCCATGAGATTTGCCATCCTGTGCAGCAAGCCGGGAACGTGAAGCAGCTGCTGGCGGGCGTGTTCAACGCGGTACGTCCAGGCGTGGTCGATGAGGAAAACGCTTAAAGAGAATTTTGGTAACGTTACTAAGGTGTACTTTTACACGTACGCAGCCAAATGTCCTGTGAATAAGAGCTACATTTCCTTAAAGATGGTGTGATAATCTCCTCTTACTCCCAAAGTCACTCCTGGAATATAGAGTGTACCATTTCAGGTAAGGATCAACTTCCCAGCAGTAACTTACATGCTGGTTTTGTTCTAGAAAGCTTATTGTGTATTAGTATTTCCAGGAAAATGAGGAGTAAACACAGGAGAGGGCACACAGTTTGTAAGCCTGGTTCCCTTTAAAGGCCGGGAACACAAATTTCTTCCCTTTTGATCATTAACTCCAGTGCATCAACCTGATATTCTTGCCTGAAGAAGGAAACTAATACATTATTTTGCAAAAGTATTCAAGGACCTTATTAGCCGTGAGCTCTGTGACATCTACCATCACCTGTAAAACTAGGTGGAGAGGTCTGATCATCAAAAGCCTGCATTTGCTATTAAAAAAAAGGATTAAGATTTAAGTTTTTTTGATTGTTTCTCTTTGGTTTATTTTGGGGGGTCGCTCTTGCCCCACCTCAGGTCTTTTTAGAAAGAAAGCATTGTTTTAAAAGAACTACCATTCTAACCCAAACCAAAATCATACACAGTTGACACAGCTTCCACTGACAAGCTTAACCCTTGTTTAGGCTGCATTGTTTTTACAAAAATATAGTTATTCAAACAGAAGGGTTCTCCACATTTTGGTTACTAAACCAAGCCAGAGAAGAATCCAAATTCTACTTGCTAAACGCCGCCCCTGCAACAAAACAAGCAAATCCCTAAAAACAGCCCCCCCCCCTTATTTCAGAAAGTTAAAACCATGTCAGCTGTCACGTACACCGAGTATCCTTGAATAATTATTGCATCTCAGATGCCACATACAGGAGAAACCTCATTTAACTTTAAAATTAAAGACTCCTGAGAATGCTAAGGTCAAGCTCTTTAGAAATCTGTTAGCAAACAGGTAAGTTGGTATTCTGCTCCTACCTTCCCACACACCTGAATGCTGCAAGGAAGCCCAAGATTATCACAGGAGCTGTTCTGAACTTTATAATTTAATTGTGTTCTCAGGGTTAGAAAGGCAATGACTTAGGCTAAAGCAGGCACGTAAAGGCAGATACCTATGCCCTGTGTTGTTTTTACTAACTGAGGCTAAATCTAGATTTTTAGATTTTGTATGTTTACCTAACACCTAAAAAGTATGAAAGTTCCAGCAAAAGAAGTTTTACAGAACTGAGAAGAATTCTGTTTAGATCTCCAGCAGAGTTAACTTGATGTCACTGCCATTTATTAGTGTGACAAATGGCCTGTTCCATGTTTCAAACCAGTAAGAACACAAAAAGCTGTGTTGCAACACTGTTTCTTATGCTATTTTTATAGCTGCATACTATTGTCCTAGTCATGACACATAAGCTGATTCTGAAGAAAGCCAACAGGAACTCGATGTATTCAATTATATATGCATGCATAGCATACAATCCTACGGGCATACTCTTGAATTATATTTTAGCCAACAGGGGGAAATTTAATACTCCATGGATCATTACTCCGAAGCTGCTTAGTACCTCCTCAGTCTGAAACTTGTGAAGGTCACAATTATTTCTTCACGTGTGTTTGCTGTTGTTGTTTGTTTTGTTTTCTACCAGCACACACTCTTGCAGATAGGAAGTTTTTGTTTTCTTTTTGCAGAATTCATGTCAGGGTTACCTTTTCCCTATTTTCTCCCTCAGCTTACTAAAAATGATTTCTAAGCACCTTCTGGCATGATTTAAAAAAAGAACGTTAAGATCCTTGCATTCCTAGTGCCCCTTGCAAGTTGTGCCTCACAGCATGTACCTTTCCTCAAACAGGCAGCTATGTCTTATAGTAAGAAGAGAGGATTTCTGAGTAGGATCAAAGCAGTTTTAAAGCAAATTGTCCATATCATTTTAGGGTTTCAAACTAAAGACTGAACACTGATTCTGAAATCACTACTCACCTATTGGGATTGGAGGCTTGAAGCCCATTCTCATTTGTTACTATAACTTTGAAACAAGGTTCATTTCCAGGATTCGGTTTCTTTTTCAATTCTTCTTCCATTTCTTCATCACCTTCTTCCTCCTCGTCCACCTCTTCTACTTGCATTATACCGAAGTAGTCACCAGCATCGAACACCTGAGATTCAAAGTGCACAAACATCAAGCCATTGGTTGAGGCAGCACCCTCACATGCACAATGGAACACTGAAAGGCACTTTCAGACACTTTTGGCTTGCAATCTGAAAAAAGAGCATTTTTTAAATGAACAGATAAATGAACAACAGCATTTATTCTTCTACATTAGAGCGGTTTGTCTGGGAAGTTCCTTTAGTTAACGTTGGCAGGAAGCTTTGTTGGTGTCTTTGGTACCAACAGGTCTACTGATGGTCGCCTACTAGTTTATCCTCCCATAAAGAATTCTAGAAGCTAGAAACAGAGTATCTTTGCTCAACTTTGCTGGAATCAACAATTTAAGACCTGCAAAACCAGGTATTACCCAGGCTCCACAACCATACTAGAAGTACATTAAGGCCCCTGAAGAAAAAGGGCTTTTACACCACTTGTGTTCTGAACCAGTTACAAAACATCACCATGTTTCCCCACCTCTTCTGTCCCTACCCAAGGAACTGCCAGTGCTCACTCACCTCCGGGTACATTGGGTGATTCCTTTGACTGCTGCAAGTTAAGGTCTATACCCTCACCTCTACTGATATGCTGAAAGGGATTTGTTTGCGTTCTTGCCTACTCCAGACATAATTTACATAGGTTCTAGACCAAGACGTTAAGTACATCACAAGTTTTCCTTCTGCCAAAATCTTGCCAAATGGTAGGCTTGCCTATCTTTTACAGGCCACAATTCTACTGACAACTTTCATGATTTCAAAGTGAACAGTGTGCTTTTAAAAAGAAAAAAATATAAATTGTAAAGTCTCGGAAGACTTTTCAAATCCTTTCAGAGGGAGTTATTTTGTTTGATCACTCACAATGAACCAGGCAGGAGCAGACAAATCATTTGTCTCAATCTAATCTCACTAGAAAGTAGGCGGGAGGGAGGAAGACCTAGAAATGTGACCTCTAGAGTTATTGGTTTAACATGCCAAACCCAGGTCTACACCTAGCCTCTGACGCCACATTATTAGAAGCCATTACTTTCAGACATTGACAACTTATTAGCTGTAAAATTCCAGAGGTGTTGACAAGCTTTTGTTTGCTCAAGTGGGTGTTCCTTCAGGATAATTTTATTTCTGCTAAGCCCCAACAGGAGGGGAAGAAATCGACTTCAAACCTGTAAAGCAAGGCAACCTAGACGAAGCAGATGGCTGCCCAAAGACAGCTAGCAACAGAGGCAGGTGGTGGGGAAACACCACCTACTTCAGATCTTAACCCACAGCATGATATCATAGACCAGATCCAAGTGGAGAAGGACCTGAAATTCCTTTCTCAGGATCAGGGAAAGATGGTATTTTTCCTTTGGGCTGCAGGGAAGAAAAAGAGGACTGCAACAATGTGTTGGCTAACTCCACATATACATTTTTTTTTAAGGTAAAGAAAATTTCTTTGTCAATAACCTCACTGGAGGTTAAAAATACACCTATTTAAAAAAAAAAAAATTGAAACCAACTTAGTATCATCTGCATCAGCAAGCATCAAAATAGCTAGCAATTCTAATTTATTCCTAGTTTTCCAGTTTGCTAGAAGAGGACAACATTCATCATAGAATGTTTGGGTTGGAAAGGACCTTAAAGACCATCTAGTTCCAACCCCCCTGCCATGGGCAGGGACACCTTCCACGGGACAGGGTTGGTCGAAGTTCTGTCCAACTTGGCCTTGTAAGTTACCTCATTAGTAAGCAGTATCATGACCTCTTGCTGTTACAATAGTAGCCACCAATGTTTCTTTAAGTCTCTGCTGGGTTGCCTGTACAATTCATAGTCATTCTAAGCCAAGGTAACCACAGGCAGGTCCCAGCAAAAGGAAATAGTCCTTCCTTGTGCAGCTGTCAACAATGATCACAATTTATTTTTGTCAGGTTAGCTCCCAGCTGGGTCAGCTCCCTGATCTGGCTTACTGCATAAGTGCTAATCCCGGCCCACAACAGGCAGCAAAAAGTGAAGTGATGCTTTGCTGCTGCAGGATCAAGAGCTGTCCTCATCAAGGTAATTAGCTAGCAGAAGAAACAGCAGCTAAGTGACTGGCAGTCATTAGGAAATTAAAACCACAAGCGTGATTCACTGGAGTCCGCTCGATACCTGCTACTGGACAGCACTATCTGTGCTTTCCACACTTGACATTTTCTCTTAAGGAGCCCGTGAGAGCAGGGCTATGAGGTGAGCCAGCTGCTGACTGGGAGATCAGCCCTCACTCCACACTTGCTCCACCCCATCCACCGAACACCCACGATGAATGTTAGTATCAAGTCCTTCTACATCTAAGGGAAGCTGGTGGCTTTATATTTTATTAAATATCAACTCAAGGCTTAAAAACGAAAAGACTCCAAAGTTTTGACCTCTCCTTCCAACAGACCATAAGATTGTAGCAGTTGCAGTTAGCAAAAACTCTCAATTTTTAATATCTTTTCAGCAGAATTATGCTAAAAAAATATTATCCTTGTGAATTTATAACCTTGAAAAAGTGAATTAGGTGTATTCTTCATCTGAAGCAATTCACAGATCACCTTAATCAGTGGCTTTTTTGTGGGTTTTGTTTTGCTCGGTTGTTTTTTTTAAATTCATAGTTGACAATGTACACAAAACAGACAAGTTTGGCAGAAGTGCAGGTTGACAGGGTGGACGACAGTGCTGTCCTCCTCTCTTCCTCACTCCCTTTGAAATCAGAGTCTGTCACACTGCAAACCTACTCACACAGCAGCTCCGTTAAAGGAATCTTAAGCTACGTAAGCGCAACCAGCTGGATAGGACCATGCCACCAATGTGAAAAGTATAACCCTTTGCTTGAAGCAGAACGGCGAGAACTCGCGCTAAGCACTCCTCCACGGTAAGTAATAAACTCCGCAAGGCAGCAAAGGGGGAGCAACAGATTTTGGTGGCACAACTATTTGCAAGCAAAACATGCTTGGGCAAAATCACTCCCTCTTCATATTCAGGTGCAGTTCCAGTCTAATGAACCATAGAACGTGATAACAGAGCAAGCAGTGTCATGACAATTATCATGCACAGGCATCTTCAGCAAATTCCTCCTAGGCATATTGCAAACTGATTTGAAGGCCACAGGTAGCCTCTGAGCAACAGCCTGCCCTCCCCTGCTCTGGAAAATAAAGTCTAGTAGTATTGACCATGCTGCATTCCTCCTAGTATTTAATTAAAAGCCTCCATTTCTAACTGGGATGAAACTCTAAGCAATCCTTTGCCCCTGGCATCTCAGGGCCACAAAAATGTTGCTGCAATACTCAGAAGCCTGCGTCATAACTTCACATATGGCTGAAATAAAAATTAGGAATAAATTAGATGCAGGCACTGTATTTCCCAGGCTTGGAACCAGACTCTATACTGTTTCTCCGGTAACGTACGAAACAACCACTATACTGGAAATAGAATTTTAGCATTTATAGTGAATTATTACACATGCGTACGTTTTGTTTTTCAAGTTTCTGCCAGAAATGCGGAAAAGTGTGATTCCCACCAGACATTGCATGCTAAATGCAAAACAAATAAAAGCACGTTTCTTGATCTAGCAGGTATACTGTGTTTTGAACGAGCAATCCAATTCAATTCATGGTTACCTAACGCTCTCAGGGGGAAACCCGCTCCAGCAGACCTCAAGGTAAATGAACAAAACCCCGACCCCTGCACTTCTCTCGCGGGTTTTAACGCACACAGGGGAAGGAGGGCGCGTTCACGCTATATGTTGAAGCACGTGTGTGTGGTGGAAAACAGCTGCCTGGGCTGGGTTCTAGAGGTACTGATGTAAGAGAGATTTTTATCTGAATTATGGATGCAAATTTTCCAAGTTCAACGCTAGAAAGTTTTAATCTTTGCAACAGGTTAGGACAAATGAAAAATTCCTCCCACCTTCACACATGAAACAAGGAAACTTATCCCATGCTCCATGTTGCACTCATTTTTTTCCCCTCCAGTTATTCTTTATTACCTAGACTCCAGAATGTTTTCACCCTTTCCCTTCACCTCCTTTGTTTTCTTTCCTGCTAATCCTCCAGCCACTCCACATGATCTAGTCCTAAGCAAGGTACTGTAACTCTGGCTCTACCTCCTCAAGAGCTCATCCCAGTCCATGGCACTCCTCACCATAATTTTCCCTGGACATCCCAGTCTTCTCCATATCCTTTTGCCCTTCTTCTGGATAAAATCCAGAAACTGCAACAGTAGAGACAAGCACCATCAGCAGTCTGGTTTAACTTCCTAAGTACAGCAAAATACTTGAATCCCTCCACATGCACTGGAAGACTTAGTACAAAAGAACACACTCAGCCACCACTGCAAGTGCAATAAAACAGAAGAGGCCGCCAGTCACCTCAGGGCATATGCTTTCTTCCTCCTGCCTTTGCCATCCCAGCCTCTGTAAAAAGATCAGATTGGCACTCAGAAGAGTACTGAGAACACTGGTAGATTTTAGCTGTTGCTAAGGAGTGTTTGTAACAATTCAAGGACTTTTTCAGCTTCTGATACTGCACCTGTATTCCCAACTTTCTTGCTACAAGCAGCAAGGGGGAAGGCACAGGTCACACAGCTAACTCAAACCAGCGGAAGGGGTACTTCATTCCATTGAATGTCATGCTCAGTAGATAAGCTGGGGGTGGGCTGGGGGACCATAGTTTGTTTGTTCGTTAGTGAGTTGGTGGGTCGGTTGGCTTCCTCAGTCGCTCTCTAGCTTGAGGGGCTGGCCTCGATTCTGCTGTGATCTCTCTCTTGGGCTAGCTCGGACTCTGCTGCAATTACTCTTGGGTTCTGTCTCTTGGGTTCTCTGACTCTCACAACTCAGGATTTGGCTGGGCGTCCATTGGCAGACAGTAGGCAGTTGTATCATTTGTTTTATTTTCCATTATATTAATTAAACAGTATTATTAGTATTGTTAATATTATTAGTTTCACTATTTTATTCTTTTATATTCAATTAGTAAATAGTTCTTATCTCGATCTCCAAGCTTCCTTGTCTTTTCCTCCAATTCTCCTTCCACTGGGTATGTGTGTGTGCACCTGTGAGAAAGTGAGTGAGTGGCTGCGTGGTACTTTGTTGCTAGCTGGGATTAAACCATGCACATGTAACTACAGTCCCCTCTCCTTCCCCACTGTCCTGCACCTCCTGTTCAAACTTTTCATCCTATCTTGTTTGTTTCTGCACTGCTCATCGTGCCCTCCTGCACCCCACCGCTAGCTCCCTTTTCTCTCCATCTCTTTCTCCCCCCAGGACTGAAAGTTCACCTCATTCTCATTTCCTTCTCCAAGCAGACTCCTCCAGACTCCCTGGAGTGCTCTCAAGTCTCCAGACAACTAGTTTTGGGTTGTGCCTCTTTCCTTTACTCCAACAAATCCCAGATAGCTTTCCTCACCACTGAGGCCTGTACGTGCAAAACGAAAAGAAAAACCAAACCTGAATTAAACTTCATAGAATCACAGAATGGTTTGGGTTGGAAGGGACCTTAAAGATCATCTAGTTCCAACCCCCCTGCCATGGGCAGGGA